TTTTACTCAAAAAATTTGAAACATAACCTCAAATTTTTTGCTTCTTAGGTATACCTTTCTTGGGAGCGCTTCACATATATAGAAATTTTTACCTTAAAAGTTGATCATTCTTCATTTTATGTGGAGGAAATTGCGTTCAAATTTGTTCACATTCTCACTTCATACATTTATATGTTGTATGTATATTGTATCCTAATATTTATAATAGCCTCGTTCCAGAATGGGCCAGCCCAAAATGTAACGCTATTTAACTAACACGCACGATGCACTATTACCGACCCGATACCGCATATGCACACGCATTCCGAACTTCTCTTATAGGTCAATTATTATTATTATAATAAAATTAGTTTATAAAAAATGAACACATCTAGGGTGTTTACGAGGAAGACGCTGTGAACGCTCTGAGCATGGGATTATGCTCTTCTAACCGCATTGATTAGAAAACATACCCACATAGCACAGAAATGTGCTAAATGTGTTTTTATAAATATAAAAATGTCACCCTCTTATTTTATTTTTTATTTATTTATTCAAAAATAAGTTCCTAGGGCTAATGAGCCCACTGCACTGCAAGTTTGCAGCAAACTTGCGTCAAATAGCAAAAACTTAAATGTATGGGCAGTAGTGCAAACTTGCCAAGAGGGTGACATTTTTATATGTATGCAAGTTTGCTGCAAACTTTGAAGTAAATTTGCGAACTTTGCATGGAAAACTTACAGAAAAATACTGTGCTATGTGGATAATCATAACATGTCCTTGGAAACCCCCAAATTATTGTCATGTTTTGGAAACGCATTCTTTATTTAAATAAAAATTCCATTTTTCAATTATTCTTAAAATATTTATAAAAAATATTAATAATATTCATAAACATTTGAACATAAAGAATTATACTTTTTGTCAAAAAAATTAGATCAAGGGGAAAATTTTTAGGTTACAAATATTATCAATTTTTAACTCTAATACCTCTAACATTTACTTTTATGTTACTTTTTTTATATCCATGGAAAAATTGGGAAACACTATAGTTCATTCACAGTTTCATATAGAATTATAACACACTTAAAATAACGCTATAGTTATTTTACTTATGCTAATATTTAAAAAACATTAGAGACGTAATTAAGTTAAGGGGAGGTTCTCATATTGCGGGGGCCAAAATAAACACAAACTTTGACAATTTTTTGCGCGGAACGGCTATGACTTAACGATGTAATTTTTTTTTCTAAATAAAGATACATTCTTGAACTTTTAAAATATATATTTCATTTTCAAAAAAATGCAAAATGGCGGTTAATATGGCGCATCTAGAAAATAATGTTTTTTTAAATAGGGAAAACGGTGGGCATTCTACACTGCGCAATTTTTAGTCTAAAACAAAAACTCAAAATTTTTTATAAAGGTGACATCCTAAAGAATAGGTTATACCTATAAAATAGTTAAAAAGTTAATAAAATGACAAAATGGCGGACACATTTTTAAAAAAACTGCGTTTTCGCATTATTATTCCATATTTGACCTCTTGTAAAAATCTCTATTGTTAACAATTTTATCATATTATAGGTATAACCCCAGTAGAATTTAGTTACCTTTAATTATCCGCAAACCCGAAGTTGATTGATTAAATAGTTTAGACGCTACGATGCCCACACCAGTTTGAAAAATCTTGTTTCTAGAAAAACGCGTTTAAGGTTTGAGAAACATTTTTGTGCAATAATTGTATTCTTTGCAATTATTTGTTCAATTTGCGTATATGATAAATATCTATAGGTATTTAGGGTCGCTCTTTACGATTCTGAGGTCAGATTTGCAAAATTTTCAAAAATTGATTCGATTTGCCTGACATTTGTTACTCAGTGCTCGGGACGGCGGTGAGTTCAAGACTTCATAAAAACGAAAATATTCTTCGGATCAAAAAATCGCTATACACACATATTCTACATATATATAGCTTTAAAAAAATACAATAAAAAAGAAATAAATTTTTTTGACTCCCGCAATGGGAACCTCCCCTTAAACAGAAAAAACTGTTCAAAAAATTAAAATCAAAAGAGGAACTTTTTTGGCCAAGCCTACACTAGTGTGTTAGTGTATTTTTCCCGCTAAATCCGAAATTGTAGTCAGAATTGTCTGTGGGGATTGGCCAATAGATCTCGCATCTACGTCAATTCACATATAGATCTCTCACAAGTGCAATACGGGCTATAGTCTTGTAGCATATGTATACAAGTTCCGAATTTGCTTCCCCCGTCTCCCACTACGTAGCTTTTCTGATGATTTCAAGTAGTTGGGACCGAAACGATAAAAAGTGGTCTTCATACCACTCTCTGCGGTTGATATACTTTTAACTCCTGTATAAAGAAATCTTCTCCTGTATAGAAAATTTTTGTGTAATGAAAGTATTTAAAAATACGGACTTTACGGACCAAAAATAAAAAATTCTCACCATTTACAGACTTAAAAAAAATGTTTTTCTTTAATTACTTTCTTATAGAAACTGAATTAAATGTTATTGAAAAAAAAAATTTTTAATTGATTTGTGGATGTCAAGGGCCAATTAAAATGTCCATCAAAATTTTATGCGTGGTTATAACTATAAAATCTTTTATTCATGTTTTATAATAATTAAAGATGGCTTAGTGATAAAATCATTTATTGAAAATGCATTAAAAACAAGTGAATTTGTAGCAAAGAATTTTATTAAAATTTTTAAAAATAATTTAATTTTTTAATAACTTTAATTGAAAATCCTCTCCGAATTTTATTAAAATTTTTTAAAATAATATAATTGATTCAAAGAATTTTACTAAAATATTGTAAATAATTGAATTCTTTCGAAGAATAGATACTTAAATTCTTTTAAACAATTATATTAGAGTTTTTCTAAATAATTAGTTTCATTTGAATAATTTCTATAAGTTTTTCAAAAATAATGTAGTTTATTTTATAGTTTTAATTGAAAACTTTGAAAATAATTAAATCAAACAAACAATGTTCTTCAACTTTTTTAAATAATCGTGTGTAATAATAATTATAATTAAAAATCTTATTATTGAATTTTATTGAGATTGTATTAAAAACAATTGAATCCTTAAGAAGAATTTAAAATTTTTTTTAAATAATTGAACATGCGAAGAATTTTGTTACTTTTGAAAATAATTGAATTCCTGGAATAATTTTTAACTTCTGCAAAATGAAATATTTTAGGGTTTTAATTAAAATTTTTCTATAAATTCATTATTTTCAATAACTTTTGAAAAAGTTCTTTGAGAATTTTCTAATTTATTTGTTTTATAATTCTATTTTACAAAATTTCAATTATCCGGAAATTCTTCAATTTATATAATATTAGAAAATAAACTCAAAGAATTTTAAAAAAATCCTCAATTAAACTTATGCAAAAAAATTAATTCCACAGAATTATTATAGTTAAAATTTGGAAATATTTAAATTTTCAAAGATTTTAATTTATAACCTTTTTAAAATTCACATATTTTAAAATAATGTTAACTGAAATTAATTTTTAAATCAATTTTTAATAGAAAATTCTACGAGAATTTAATTATTTAAATTCAAAATTAAATAATTTATTGAATAATTAAATGTGTCTTAAAATTAAATTTTCATAAAGAATTTTATTTAAAAAAATGTTTAAATAATTGAATTCTTTAGACAAATTTTAATAAAAATTATTAAGAATAATTACATTTTTCAAGGAATTCGATTAAAATTGTATTAAAAATAATTGGAATTCTGCAATGAGTTTTATTAATTAAGAAAACAATTGAATTCCTAAAAAGAATTTTTTATTTACGAGAATAATTGAATCATGTAAAATTTTTATTATTTATGAAAATAATTGAATTGTTGCAAAGAAATTTATAAAAAATTAGTAAATAATTGAATTCCTGTGAAATTTTTATTTTTTATGAAAATAATTAAATGTTTGCGTAGAATTTTATCAGATTTTTTTTAAATAAAAAATTGAATTCTTTTGGAACATTTTATTAAAATAGTAGATATTGAAAATCATTGAATTGAGGAAAATATTTGAAAAATAATTGAAATCATTGAAATTTTGCCAACAATTGAATTAAAATTTTGGAAAATAATTGAATTTCGGAGAAGAATTTTATTATTTCTAAAGATAATTGAAATTTTGGTGAGAATTTAGAAAAAATTTTAAACCTAATTGAATTTCTGTGAAGAATTTTATTACTTTTGAAAATAATTGAATTTCTCTAAAATTCTGCAAATTATATCGTACAATTTACAAACTTTTCGTCCTTTTTTAATTAAATTACGGACTTTAAGGAACTTTTTTAAAAAAAACGGACTTTTTACAGAATTTACGGACTTAGTTCGAGCCCTGAACAAGGTTAGAAATAATGTTGAAATTTACAAGAATAATAAAATAGAATTTTTTTTAATATACATTTATTATTTTTGGCTAGGCATACCACATATTGTTTAGATTCACAAATAATTTAATCGTTTCGAACATGTTTTCCTTCAGATGGTTAAAAATACAATGTACCCTTAACAATTTTGTTTACAAAATAATGCATCTCTATATGTAATATATTTGACTCTGATCCTTTAAGGATCAATATTTAAAATTCTAAAGTGGATTTGTCATTTCACTCTCTTTTTTTCTCTTTCTATTTTTTTTCTTATAAGCAAAGGCAAATAATCACTGAGAATTTTTCTCGAGAACCTTTTGTTCATTTCAGTTTTAAATTAATAAGTGACAATTTTAGAAGGATTTACATAGTGGCAACCTGATTAAATTGTTAGTGTAACAATCACAAGCGCTACGAATGTTACTGACAAAAAGTTATATGCTGAAGACCCACAGCGACGAAACAATTATACATTTTCTTGAATCAATTTATTTCCAAATTCACCAATAAAAAAAATATTAATATTAAAAGAAACATCTAATAAAGTTTTAAAAAAAAATTTTATTTAATCCTAGCAAATTTTAATTATGGTAAAATTCTTGAAACAATTAAAACATTCACACTAAAATAACTTTTTATAATAAAAATAAATAATTCTAAAATAAATTTGATTATGTAGTTTCAAAAATTTGTCGCATATCTAAAAATAAAATTCACATTTTGGTAAATGTTTGGAAATATATTTGCTTCAAGTGAAATTTTACTAGAACGTAACACAATATGCGTGTGGAGATAACAAAAAATTCTTCTATTTAAAATAAAACTTTTTTTTCGACAGTCTTATAAAGACTTTCACAATTTATAATTCTCCATCGATTTTGTAATCATTAAATATTCCCATTAAATAAAATAAAAATAACAAAAGTGTTGCCACAAAAGAAATTTTTCATTTTTTCTTTTTTTTATAATTATTGATGAAAAGAAAGTTAATGGGAATTTTCGATGAGTCACAAAATATAAACAATTCTTTTTTTTATTTATATATATACATGTGAAGGAATAAATTTTTTTTGAAGAACATTAAAATTGTGTGTAACCAAGCGTTCAGAAAAAATTTGTCGTAATATCTTCTAATTAATTTAAATTTTTACCTATGCTATAAAGTATATACAGCACGGCAGTGATTATTCTACTATTTCTTACCATCAATAAAATCTAACGATAAGAAGTTTGACGAAATAACGCCCAATTGGGCTTTATATCGAAAATCACAATGTTTGCTTTACCTCTTTTACTATTCAACACTTTTTTTTTTGCTGTTTTTCTTTGCACAAAGAATCTTTCAGATTCCCTTACAAATAATGCAATCAGATAATCGGATTAAAAAAATAAATTAAATTTCATATTAAAAATTAAATTTGATCACATTACTCATTTTGACAAAAACGTACGTATCTCCATTGAAATAGAAGAACAATTAACTTTTACAACTGAAGATTTTACATAAAAATGTTAAAAATTAACTTCGAAATTTTAAATTGACAAAAAAATTATTTTAAATTATAGGATCGAAATTAAAAGTAGAGACAATGCGTTTTTTCCGCACAAAATAAATTTTCCAATTTTTAAAATCAATATTAAATTTCCCTTTTTAACACAACTGACAAAACAACGATTTAATTTTTTGATTTTAACATTAATCTCTCTCATTGATCAGAAAAAATTTTCAAATCACTTTGAGGATGAAAAATAGTGATTTTACAAATCGGCATTCTTAATTGAAATTTTTTCCAAGGTACTAATGTGTAGTACCTACATTTAATTTACTCTAGAATATATCGACTATGTAAATAGTTTAATTTTATAACAATTACTCTCTACGTACCTATCATTATATTCATCACAGTGCTACGGACACAAAAATGTGTTCTTTTCATACAAGTTTAAAATTTTTATAATTTTCTTTTCATAGGAGAAAAATCGAAATTACACTTTACTCTGGTTTTCAAAAAATTATCGACTTTTACTTGGGGGGGGGGGAATCAATTAATTAGTGAATTGATCTTCCCAATTATATATTATATATACCTTCTTCAATATAAGTAATTAACTTGACAATTAGGCAAGTAGCGTGTAATGGCAAAAATAGAATGAAGTTAAATTGCATCGAAATATAAGTTATATAATACGTGTATAAATAGACATATTATATAATATATACATATTTAATATACGTTTGTGTAACGAGTGGCTATTGACCCTCAAATTTTATTTTTCTCCTTTAATATCACTTGTTTCGTTATAATGCTGGCGCAGGCAGTATCATCCCATATAAATATTTTTACTTGGCTTTTTATTACATCTATATTTACAACGATCAATTGAGAGAATGGCGTTTACAAGGAGATCCTCCAATTTCTTTTCTAACAAGTTTTGTGAGCCTATTAAAGACACTTTTTGCCATCTGAATTTAAACATTACACAATAAAACATCGATTTGCTTTTTTTATGAATTGCCGTATTTTCGAAGCAATTTTCAATTGAGCTCAAGTCAAAGAGCTGCCAACTGTCACAATAGAAAAATAGTATTGTTTTTATTGTTTGTCTATTTAATTTCCTTTCATTTTCCTTTCATTTTTCCCTTCTTGTTACACAGATATGTCGACAATTCTTTTTTAAATTGACAAACGAAATAAATTGCCACGACAAAGATTTGCTTTTTCTACTAAATAATTTAACACATTTTTATTCTTTTTTTTTTTTGGGCAAATCAATCACAATAGGTTTTAATAAATTCAAATAAATTCAAATAAATTCTCTATATAAATAAAAATGTGAAAATAAATTTTTTAAACGATTAATATTATTAATTATTATTAAACTTTTAAAGAAAACTGAAGAGAGAGCCTTTTTCAAGGGGCGTTTTCAATGAATTAGAGACTATGAAATTCTTTCAATAAATTTTTTTAATGAAAGAATTGCAAATTATTTTTCCCTTTTCTAATTCAGTTGCAAGTTTTGAAGTTTTCCTTTCTCAGAAGTATATTCATAGTTTGCTTTGATGTAGAGTAAACAATACAATCAAGGACTGATTAACAACAACTCCATGAGAGGAGCCACGAGGCTCAGCACCTTGGTGAAAATTTTGGATGCGTAGGTCCGTGATTGTAACTCCTTACTTCCTGTGGTGGCTCTGAACTGAAGTCTGAAGCTGTATCCACATCAGCTCTTCGACAAATTATCATTCGAATGTCTGTGTGTAAATAAATCCGACCTGATTTTCCAGACATAAATCTGTAAAATTTATAGAGAAATTTTTTATTATAACTTTTTAATTGATAGTATGTTTTACATTTTATGCGACCTACAAATTTTTATTATCCATTGTATAGTAATCTCCCCTAATAAGTTGGACGTCAGTACTTTAATCTCGGATTATCTACAAGAGATTCTGAATATTGCCAAGATTTTATTTTGACATTATTTTAAAAAAGTATATTCCAATTTTTCTGTTGATGCAAAAAAAGTTGCCGATCCAAATGGCATCGCTTTAGTGATTTGTCTGGCATTTCTATAAAAATCGACTGAAAAATGGAGTACAAATTTTCTTGCGTGTTTTTAAGTCTATAAGAAAAATTTACTTTTTTGGAATGAATGTCTCTTTGTCTGTTTGTGTGTGTGTGTGTGTGTGTGTGTGACTGGTTTTATAGTTTTTTAAAATAAAAACTTATAATTATAAGTGAAGTGAGAAATCCACGTGTTTTCTAAAATATGTCTGAAGAGGTCTGTCGTCGATGGACGAAAAGCTTAAGATTTAAAATTAAATAAATGTGGATTCTCAACAAAAACAACCTTTTAAATCTTTACTTAAATTAAAAAATCCAAAAAACAAATTTTACATCTTTACTACAAGAAAAATTTACTTTGATTTTTGATCTATTCAAATTTGTCTAGTAATAAAAAGCTGCAAAATTAGTGTCAAAATGGCAGTATCCCTTATCCACACTAAGAAATCAGAGCATTGCCTAACAATAAAAATTTATATTTCTCACGCTTGTAATATTACAAAATTTATTTTGTTTAGTATAACTCTAACTTGTAAATTTTTTCTTAGAATAGTCAGGTTGTCAAAGTTGGACAAAAAAATTCAAATTTGAAATAATTTTTTTGTACCAAAAACTATTCTAGAAAATATATAAAACATGATATGGTGTATATTTTTCAAGAAAATTTAATAAAAAAATATGTTTGAATTTTAAAAATTATTTTTCTTTTAATAAGATTATTTCAAATTTAAAAAATTTTTTTTTCTAACTTTGACGTCCTGCTTATTCAAAGAAAAAAATTACAGGTCAATTGCCTATAAGTAATGCTTATTCTGCAGAAAATGACCTTTAAAATCATTTTAAGATGATTAAAAAGCGTTCATTATTTTAGAAGTTATTCAAATTTTTGTAGAACATTGAAAATGACGATTTTTTAAAAATATCTAAATAAAATACTGACCAAATGACTTCTGTAAGGTTTCATTCTTTTTAAAATATCATCATCTTTCAAAACATATACCGAAAATTTGAGTTTTCATAAATTTTGTGTTAAAATATTTTTTTCATTCCCTTGAAAATGGGTGGACTCACAATTTTGGCCGGTACTGTATTTATATTTTATATTAGATCCGTCATTTCGAATTTTGTAAATCGGACATCATATTTGTAATCAGAGACTCCAAAAACCCTAGAGTAAAGAGTTTCAAGCGAATCCGCTGAATTTAAGAAAATGTTTCAAACTAAAATTATACACACATTTGAGGTTTTTTTTAATTTTCAACCCCTAAAACACTTGAGTAGTGTTACTTGTAAGATGTTTTTGCCATAGGCCTTTTACGTCACACAATATCACTAATAGTTACGGTGACTCAGTATTGGTTTAACGACATTCAATCGACATTAAATCTAAGCAGAATTTATGTCGAGAATTTAGTGCTGGTTTATCTGCATTAATTGAAAAAATTGATTTTCGATAGATTTTCTTGAAATTTTGAAAAAATGTTTCTTCGGGTGTCGACACTAAAATTATACGAAAATCAGGAAGTAACCCTTCCTCGCAAAGCGTTGGAGAAAACGTCGTGTGCAACTCGTGGGGAAAAATGATTTTTCTCGTGTGACTTCACCCTCGCAAAATCACTCATTTTCAACACTAGTTGCACAATGTACTATTTTAGCACATGAAAAGATGAAAATATTAAATTTTCGATTTTTTTAGAAAATAATTTCACATTTTGTTCAATAAACACTTTGAAATTGTGTGTATATTAAATTGATCCCTATTGTTCGAGTGTAAAAGTGGACAGGGATAGCAATGGGTGCATATCCCACCCTTGTGCACTCAGGATAATGCATGAATTAAAAATTGAAAACTCACCTAAGATGAATGAGGTAGCGTAGTGTCTTATCTCGCAAAGTCCTTTGACGTAAAAAAGTATGAGATCGTGGAGGCATGTCCGAAAGATCATAGAGTACTACAAACATTTTAACAACAGTACCCAAGGGATTCAACAAAGTCACTTGTACAGTTCCGCTTCTTGGAACTTGGTAACCTTTTTTGCCTAAATTAATATGAGCCTGTAAAGATAAAAAACGTATTTATTAAATGGGCTAAAAGTGGAATATTTACATATTTAAAAAGTTTAACTCCATGCTATGAGTTTCTGCTTTGGTACTTACAAGATAAGGTGTGGAGACTTTATCATTGTCTCCAAGCGTATAGAAGAATACAGTAACAGGAAGTTTTCTGTGTTTAGGGCAAAATGAACCACTTGCTCCTAATTCGGCAGTAAATCCATGGACAGTCGATACAGGTTCCAATCTACCGTTCAACGCTGACTCTTCAAAATTCCCCAGCAGAGCATGACTTTGCGGTCTATTGCGAGAAGTGGAGCGCCGTCTCTCAGTCTTCTCGCCGTCGCACGTATTTTCTGTTTCCCTGTCAGTCTCTTCTAAAGAAACTGCCCCAGGACTTGGTGGTGTATTTAATTCGAAAAGTGCACTGTAATAATCAAATTTGCGCATTTAAAAAAACGAATAACGTTACTCACGCACAAGTTGTTCGGATAGTTAACTAAAATTATTTGGTGAAAAATCAGTGAATTAGAAAATTTCACTATAATTTAAACTTCATAAACTGATCTTGTTACTTTAAGTTTTACTCTTATTCCTAATAAGTAAAAAAAGTTCTAAGAATTACAAGCATCACAGAACATTTTATTCTAAAGAAAACTGAAAAGTGAAAAGGGGAATTTTTATTTCCAAAGGAGGACAAAAAATATACCAAACAAAAAAATTAAAATATGTTAAAAGTTATATTAACAATGTATTAATACTCAAATTTCTTACAGTTTTCGATTCTTTGATAGAAAAATTATTTTCATCAGTTCAATACAATTATTGTTTTCTAAAATTATTAACTAAAGTTAAAAGTAAGTAGAAATTTCGATTCGTGAAAGGTAAAAGTATAGACATATTGGTTTTATATCATATTTTTTATTGATGTCAAATAATTAAAATGATAGCGACGTTTCAATTACTTGGTTTGTCATCGAAACGTCGCTATCATTTTAATTATTTGACATCAATAAAAAATATGACATAAAACCAATATGTCTATACTTTTACCTTTCACGGATCGAAATTTCTACTTACTTCTAATATAAAAAATTTCAGAAGGGAATATCATCATTTATACTAAATTAACTAAAATTCTTCTTTAAATCAATTATTATTAATAATTTTTAAAAAGTTCTTTAAGATTTTTCAAATCCATTTGCTTACAATTCAATTTTACAAAATTTCGATTATTCGGAAATTCGGCAATTAAATATACTTACAGTAGAAAATAAAAACTTCAAATAATTTCAAACAAAATTCAATTACACTTTTTCAAAACAATTAATTCTACAGAATTGTTAGTTAAAAGTATATGAAAAATTTAGATTCTCAAATATTTTAATTTGAAACCTTCTCAAAAATCAATAATTTCTAAAAATTCACGCTATAATGTTTTTTATGTTCAATTATAATTTAAAATTTTAACTGAAATTCATTTTTAAATAAATTTCTATTCGAAATTTTTACGAGAATTCAATTATTTAAATACAAAAATAAATAATTTATTTATGGAATAATTGAGAGATTCTTAAAATTGAATTCTCATTAAGAATTTTATCAACAAATTTTTAAAGAATTAAATTCATGTAAAATTTTTATTACTTGTAAAAATATTTAAATGTTTGCGTAGAATCTTAATCAAATTTTTTTTAAATAATAGAATTCTTTTGGAAAATCTTATTAAAATAGTAGATATCGAAAATCATTGAATTAAAGAAATTTTTTGAAAATAATTGAATTTCTGTGAAGAATTTTATTAATTTTGAAAATAATTGAATTGTTGTGATGAATATTGTTATTTATGAAAATAATTGATTAGATATCTATCTGAATTTTGTAATGTATTTTATAAAAACTCCTGAATATAATTGAATTTCGGCGAAAAAGTTTTCTATTTATTAAGATAATTGAAATATTGATGAGAATTTTTAAAAACATTTTTGAAAATAATTTAATTTTTGGAAAGAATTTTAATATTTATTAAGATAGTTGAATGCTTTCAAAGAATTGCGTTAAAATTTTTATAACAAAAGCTAATTTCAACATAATTGAAAATAATTAAATTTCTGGAATCATTTGTAACTTCTCAAAAATCTACTAAAATTTCTAATTAAATTCATTCAAAATCAAAATTTTCTAAAATTTTAAACTGAAATCTTTTAAAGTTCATCTATTTAAGAAAATTGTAAACGAACTCTTTTAAAATTTAATTAAGTTTGAAATATTGAAGTAAAATTATTCATTAAATAATTTATAAGTAATAATTTTATGAAGGTTCTTAAAGAATTAAGTTATTTAAAAAGAAATTTCTCCAACACTTGCTCTGGAAGGAGTACTTTTCTTGGTAGAAAAGTGTGGCGAAAGTAGAACTTTTCTCAACTGCTCTGAAGAGCGTGGCGAAAGTAAAATTTGGCGTGGTGAAAGTAAATCATGAATTTATTCTTTTTTCTTGTTCTTTGACCGAGATCTATTTTTTATCTAACTTCTTCCCCACTCAAAACAAGCACACGTTAAATTAAAATTATACGAAACTCACGAAGAAACCTTTCCTCGCAAGGCGTTTGAGAAAACGTAGTGCACAACTCGTGGTGAAAGAATGATTTTTCTCGAGTGATTGCCGCTCTCGCAACGCTCGAGCCGCAAACTTCACTCTCGAAAAATCACACTTTCGCCACTAGTTGTAGAATGTACTATATTGTCAGAAATAGAAAAAAATTGAAGGATCTGTATTAGAATTCGTGGTAATTTCATAGTTTATGAGAATTCAGAATTTTCTTATAAATTCTAAAAATTTAAATTAAAAAAAAATTCTAAAAATTTAATTTTTTTCCAGTAAAAATCCTTGACTTTTCCCTGATGAATTCTACTATCCCTATTTTCTTCAAAAAATAATGTTGAAAGTATGCTTATTTGTTTAAAAAAAAGTCAATAGTTTTAAAACTTTTATATAGGTGATATGACAAAAAAATTTGGATAATTTTTGTAAATTGTATATAAAAATAAATAAATACTTTGACTGTCAATTTTATTTCCAAAAATTTATATTTTTATTTTTCTAGAAAAAACTATTAATAATAATATTTTAATTATTTGAATGTTAATTAATTATTTTTCTAGAGGTCAGCATTCTGTTGAATAAACCACCTTATTATTTTTTTTAATTCTTTCAGTTATTTTATTTAAACGATTAACATAAAAAACATATTTATATTATGTTGTAATCAAAAATAAAACGCACTGAATTCTATAACATTGAATCTAAATCTTTGAAAAAGATTTGAAAAAACTTGATTTATTATTTTTTATTAGAAAAAGGTGAAAAAGGTGAAAAAGGTACCAAAATTGAGAAAGGGGACTCTATCTGTGATGCCTGACTCTATCTGTTAATCTAAGAGTTAAAAAACATGAAAGAATAAAAACGCACCTTCGCTTAGACGAAACGGAATTCAAACTGCTGTCAAAATCAAAGCAGCAGCTTCCTTTTCTCAGAGGTGCTGGACTCGATGTAAGCGGTAAACCTGTCCTACTGTGAAAAACCATTGACGCTGCATTTTCCAAAGATCTTCTGAATCTCTCTTGCTCCAAAGCGGAAGGAACCATCATCTTCTCAAACGTTTCATCCTCATCCACATTATTGTTGTCATTAATCCTCGATTTGGAAGACATATTATAATCAGTGTGTTCTGTCGTGAGAAGACCAACTTGCTTCTGTCGATCTTGTCTGCAAATGACTTTTTCTTCCTCATTCTCCTGCTTTTCACTTCCATTAGACTTTGTACTCTTTTGACATTCTTTAATTTTCTTAAAACATCTGTTTGATAAGTTATGCGCATTGCCCTTAAGATCCTCCTCTGCGTGATTTGTACTATATAATTGAGAATTGTGCGTGCTAACTAAACTGGTCCCTAAAGAATCAACAAACTCCTGTATGATGCCTTTGTCACTAGAAGTTAAAACTCTTTTCTTCGAATGATTCCTCTCCTTTCTCTCATCTTCCACTGAATTCAAACTCTCTTTGGAATGATCTTCCAGCGTTAGAAGATCCGGCCTCTCCTCTCTTTTGAATAGTTGTCTAATTTGAATCAGTCTCTTGTTCAAAGCTGAGGGTAACGATTTTCCATCTTCTAGTTTTGCTTTCATGTTCTTCTCGGTGCCTTCGCTCGATGGGTTCTTCGGTCTCGCCCCATTGGAAATGTCCGCCAGGCTCTTTCGATCTTTGCTGGTCCTCAAGATTGCACCCAGCAGGACATCAGCTTTATTGACCACACTGTCGACCAGGTCCGATTTTGATTGTTCCTCCAAATTCTGAAGTCTCAGATGTTTACCGCTTCTGTGCTCGAAATCCTCTCGAGAACAACGATGTTTTGAATTAAACACAAGCTCTTCACAAGAATTATTCGATTCATGCGTTGGTGCAAACTCTGAACTTGTTGATGACTGCGAACTTTGTTTTTCAGGTCTCTCGACTTTTTCCTTCTTCTTCAAATTTTTCACCGGAGTTCTTCTCTTTCCGCAGGGAGTGCGCGCTCTCAGAACAGCCAAAACTTCATTAAACTCACGCTGACTGAGTTCCAGATTCTTAACTCTCACATCACTGCTAGTGTCTTGATTGTGGACAACTTTTGATTTATCTTCGAAATTATTGTTGGGTACAACGCCGAGGACTCGACCTGGAACTTTGCTGATCCAATCGAGAATCCCTTCCTCCTTCCCTTTGTTTTTGTCCTCGGGAAAGGATAAATTAGCCATCAATTGAGATAATTCTTTTCCACTTGGATTATTGGGATCATTATTTGTACTCGGAAGTTTACTTTTACTGCGAGTTTTGTGAACTGTGCATGTTAGAGGGTTTACAGAATAGGGGACTTGATAGGAATTGACGTGCGTTGAAGAACCAGGATTTGTTTCATAGAATAAACTATAAAATGGATTGATCACAAGATTTGTTTCCTTAGGCAATGGTGACATCTTTTTTGTTGAATTGTTGTTAATGGTTTTTATTTGTCCATGGATATTTTCCAAACTATTTTTATTCTTGGTGTTTAAAGAACTGCGTTGCTCATCAGATGCATCTAAAATCATAAGTCTCTAATTAGTCTGTAATAATCACTCTTCTATATTTAGCAATTTTACAAAATTTAAACACCAATTCTTACTGAGAAAATATCGAGATGAGGCAAACTATTATTTTAAAGAGTTTTATTAAAGTTTTTTAGAATAATTTTTTTATTTCAATTATTAGCAAATTTCAAGTAATGCAAATTGTCAAAAAAAAAAAAGAAAAAAGTAGCATTTAGTGTCACAAATCTAAGAAAAAGGATTTAAATAGTAGCGAATCGTAAAAAAAAAGTAAATAGTAAGTTTTAGTAGATTAGTGGGAAGCCTGCAAATATTTTTTTGACTGAGACAAAAAAATATTTGACTAAATTTTAGTTTGTCTCATCTCGACATTTTTTCGAGTAAAAATTTTATCAGCAAAATTTTTTATATATTTGACTTGGACAGTTAAAATAAACCCATCATCTGAAAAAATCCGTTTTTACATTTTTGGCGATTTCGAAAGAAAAATTACGACAAAAAAACAATAGGATCTTCTTCACTGTTCAAATCATATATATTATGAACTTATTTATTCTTACATTCTCCGTTTCTTTCTAAAAAAGCACAATAGTAAACTTCTTAATTTAATTAGTCTAAATATTATTCATCATAAATTTTAACTTCTCTTATCTTCTTTTTCTCTTTTAATTTTATTAAAAATAAATTAAATAAAAGTTATTAAGAAATAAAAACAGGTTATGACAAAGAAGAAAAATGCGAATTAAATAAAACAAAAATTAAGAAAAAAGCGCCATTATTGATCATTAGAAAATTGTAATCTCCACTTGAAACTGTTAGGTGATTTGAAAAAAGTCTATCTTAGCGGAAAGGGTTTATACCTAAAAACAGAGATTCCGAAGGCACTTGTGTAATAGGTGATTCGTCCTTTCCTAAAAAGCCATTATCAGCTTCTTGGCCTGTTTCATTTTTGTGAAACTCTCCAAGTTGACGGCCGAAGGTTCTCACCTAAAAGTGCAAATATTTAAAAATAAGAAAAATAAATCGGAACACTTTTCTTATTTAACTTTGTCAAACAAATTTAACATGACAATCTGCTAGAAAACGAAAAAACCGATGTCTTAGTAGAAATAGTAATTCCTTTATGGATTACTTTTTCATTAAAATATCTTTACTTTTCATTTGAAACACCTGAAAAAATTTAAACAACTTTCTTTTTTTTTCATTTTTTTTTTTTTTGCTTTAAAAGTTAGTTTACCATCTGTAGAATATAATGGGATCTCAAAACCACCACTCTTGGTCGTTGGTCTTGGTTTTAGCAGAAGGTGAATATTTATAACCCGTTCTTTATTATTAAAAATTAATAAATCTCGGGACCAGGGTTTCCACATGAGTATTTAAATACCAGTAAATTAAAAAAATTAAAAATTGCAAACTATATATTAGCACAAAATTTGTCCATGAGTTCGACGCCGGAAAACTCTTAAACATTTTTCGTTCGGCCGCGCGGGACGTTTTAAATGTTGTTTCGTCAAATTTTTGCTATTCAATTGTGAAACTGTTTTGACTTGTTTTGTTATATGCACCACACTACAAGATAATACTTTTAAATCTAAGAAGTATTTTTTTCAAAAGACTAAAGTAGATAGATGATAAGTTGTGTGAAATCAAACAAAAATCCATATAAATTAATAACTTTGGTACACATTTGTTCTTCGGAATCTAGCTCAATGTATTTTGGGAATTAGAGCTGTAAGAAAATATATTAACGCAGTTCGTTAATGCAAAATAATAAATAGTTAAAATTGTAAATTATCCCTAAAACATTAGATAATAATTTCAGTATTATCATAATTTCTTAACAGCATGTGACTGTTAGAAATTCAATGGTAATTTTTTCGACCACTTTTCTCTTTAAATATTTAATTAAAATTGAGCTGAAATTTTGTAAGAAAGTCTAAAATATAAGAAAGAAGGGCAGTGATGTGCAAAAGTTTTAACAATTCAAAAATAAATTATAATAAAACACTTTGAAATCGGTGAAGACGAAAAATTGATTAGAAGTGACCGTGACAACTGATGATTTTTAAAGTGATTTGTAATAATTAATTTTAAAAATATTACAATTTTTGCACATCAATGCCCTTCTTTATTGTATTTTAGACTTTCGTACAAAATTTCAGCTCAATTTATTAAATATTTAAAGAGAAAAGTGGTCGAAAAAATTACCATTGAGAACCTAACAATCACATGCTGTTAATAATGTTTCCTTTTAAAAAAATTAAAAATAAAATGTATTTTCATATTCCAGAAAACCTAGCGCAATCACGTCTGGATTAAAAACATGATTAATTGTGAATGAAATAATAAATACACTCAGTCAATCAAACTGAAGTTATCAACGTTGATTCAACGAAAAAATAAAAAATAGTTTTTCTCTAAAAAGTTCAGGATACAAATTTCTCTTAATAAAATTTGTTTATTTTTAAATTTTAACCCAAGAAAAACACTCTAAACCCTAAAATAAAAAAGATGGGGAAACAGTAGTTCTTATTTTTTTTCACTGATTTTCCAAAATTTCAACTAAATGTTTCCTCACCTCGGAAGTAATTTTTTTCTTTTGATAATTATTTATTTTAATGTCAGCAGCCATTTTAAAAAAATTCCAAAAGGATCCAAGTCGGGGAAACTAGTAATTTTAAATCTTTTTGTATCACGGATTTTCCAAAAATCTCGGAATTTCAACTTAATTTATAATTCTTCGCCTCGGAAGTAATTTTTTTTGTTGGGATTTGGCTGTGCTTTTGTAAATTTATTACTTTTATTTTATAGTGATAAACAACTCCACCAAATATTTTTTCAAAATTTTGAAAATTACCAAAAATATGGCATTTTCAAAATTTTTGTCTTTTTTTTTTAAAGTGCTTTGGTTCTAATTAACCGATTTTGGATTTTAAAAAAAGGATTTCTTTGGTTTTAAGTTCAAATTAATATAAAAAAAAAAATTCAAAAAATTTTATTTTTTGAAATTTTGAAAAATTAAAAATCCGTTTTTGAAAAAACGTCATCTTCTATTTTTCCAAAATTTTACTAAATGTTAGGGCAAATATGCTTTACATGTCCTGTAAGTTTCATCTTGGGATCTCAAAGGAATTCGGAGTAAGAAAATAAATCGTAGCGCAAGCGTTACGAACATATTGGACAAAATTCCTCAACTGTTCAGGTCAAAAAATGAATTTTCTCTAAACTTTGCTAAATTTTTTCTATTATTAGTTGAAGTGTAAATATAATTTTTTTTTAATTTGATAAAATATTTTTTGAGTTATGGAGTTTCAAAATTTTGATTTTTTTGAAAATATCTTTTTTTCGATTTAATATATTGCATTGATAAGTAAAATTAATCAATTTTAAAGTATGAATAGTGGTTTTTAAAGGGATTTTCACGGGCTATAAGCTGGTGATGAAAAAAAAGTTTTTTTCTTTCAATTTGACCATGAAATTCAAGGTCAAATTCTTAATTTCAATATATCTAAAAATCGGTGTTTTTTATTTTTTTCTAACAACCTCCAATATTATAGAAATTGTGTAGATTTTTCTGCCAAAATGCAGGCGAAAATCGACTTTTAATCTTAAAAATCCGCTTGAAAGCGTGAAGTTTCTAACAAAACAAAAGAAGATCTTATTTATTCGTTTGCAATTTTATCTTTTTCCAGGAACTTGAGTCAATTTTCGCCTGCATTTTGTCAGAAAAATTTACATAATTTCTATAATATTGGAGGTTACTGATTTTTCTTTTTTTTAAATGAATCCTTATAGTTTTGCGCATCAATATATCGTAATTTAATCTTTCAAAAACATTGAGAACATTCTTCAATTTGCAATTGTTTAAAAGAATTGTTAATAACAATTATAAATTTTCATTTTTTAGCAATCGCTTTATTTCATCTTTAAAGTATAGACTTTAAGCTTTAATTTAAAAAAAAATTACTTAATTATCTTTATTTGTTTCAAAGTAATAATAAAATGAAAATAAAATGACCCAAAACTTCAATACCTGATTACTTCAAAAATAAAATTATTTTTTGAAAAATATTTTAGGGGGAAAAAGTGTACTCATATATCTACCAAAAATCATAGATAACTTGAAAATTGGAGATAAAAATTTTTCAAGTGGCCGGTTTCACTTATTTTGACCCCCATATTTTTGGTAATTTTCAAAATTTTGAAAAAATATTTGGTGGAGTTGTTTATCACTATAAAAGTAATAAATTTACAAAAGTACAGCCAAATCCCAACAAGTCATAAAAATTAGTGTGTTGAACTGACGTGGAATCCACCTAATAATTGATTTTAATGTCAGAAACCATTTTAAAAGAATTCCAAGATGATCCAATTGAAGAAAGCAGTGATTTTTGTTTTTTAATTGAAATTCCGGGATTTTTGGAAGATCTACGACAAAAAAATTCAAAATCACTGCTTTCCCCGCCTTGGATCCTCTTTGAATTTTTTTTAAATGCCTTTTGATATCATGATAAACAATTATCAAAAGAAAAAGATTGCTTCCGAGTTGAGGAAACAATAATTTAGTCTAAATTTCACGGTCTTTGGTAAATCCGTGAGTCATTTTGTCCAGCTTTTTCGCGGTGGCGAAAAATGGTTCTACTGAGAGTAGTGAGAGTTAAAACTTGATGCACATGTGCAATATATTTATACGAATAAGTAAGAATTATTATGAAAATCACTAAATTGTATATTTACATTGAAAAAAGTAATTTAAAAAGAATGTTACCTTTAATTGATCAGGATTATCAATGGCATATTTGTATCTCTTTTCGACGTTCCAATTTTGTTCATCAATGCTGAATGTTTCAAAAATATGCTCTAAATTATCAAAACTGGAGCTACTGCTTTTCTGAGGGTTCTCTTCAGCTGCAACATTTTGTACCTCTGGCTTTAGCTTTGTATTTCCATAATTAAATTTGCAAAGATGATCATTAAATTCTCTCGTTGTAGTTTCTTGAACTGATGTCAAACAGGACGGATGAACTGCTATACACGAGACGGATGTCTCCGAAGGACCGCAGGGTAGTGACCTGCGTCTCTTCCTCTCACTATTCGGCCGCACAGAAGGTGAAGGTGGGCCGCCGTCTTCTTCCTCACATCGACAGTCATGCTTTCCAGATTTGTCGCATGGCGTTTGTAGCCTGTCGTCCAAAAGAGCTGTCGAAAAATAAATTAATTAGCAACTATTCTATGAGAAAAGGTGAAGGGACTTTTAGTCAAGTAGTAATATGACAGTGATGACTTTAACATTTTTCAGAATGATATTCCATCGATTTCATGAATCATTCATGCGAATGAATTTTAAAAATTTATTGTATTTTTAATAACACTTGATGTTGATTTCTAGGGGCTTTTGACGTCATTGATTGCAATTCTCAAGTGATCAGATTAATGCTCTAAATGTTGCATTTACCTACAGCTTATTTTTCCAGAATTCAGAGGTGACTAAATTCAAGCCGTTCGGTTCCTGAGATATCATGGTCCTCAGTTTGAAAAACACAGTTTTGAGAAAAACGCCATTCAAAGTTTATATTATACATTGTTCACTTGATAGCACCTAGTCTTCTCAGTACTGTAACTTTCTTAGGACATCAAATTACAAAAATGCGCTTTACCCACATATTCTAAACATATTGTAGATGTGATTTATAAAAAAAATTGTCGATTTTTTTGAACCCATCACACGGAGTGACCTCTTTAAATGCAACTAAAACAGTAGAAAAGATTTTTTGGAAAAATATTTATAAACATAGAAGATAACTTTGAAACTTTTTAGTATTGTTTTTTTAAACCTATATCGGTAGAGGCATTCAGGTCAATTTTTTCATATTGTTTATAAAAAGGCAAACTTTACACTAAACAATTTAAAAAAAATTATATTAAAAAAAATTTTTTATTTTTAACTTTTGAAGAAACTTTATTTTTTTGGAGTGATCGACTATTTCATCGTTTTATTAAAAATGTACAATGCTATGGGTAACATTTTTAGTTTTATATAATTTTTAAACTTTAAAATATTAATTTCCGTGTTTATTTATTTATATTTTTTCTATTTTTCGAAATATGGTGGATTTTGTGAAAATAAAAAATAAATAAACACGAAAACTAATTCTTTACAGGCAGGGCTCGGATCTTCTTTAAGATTAAAAAAAAGTCGCTTTAGTCGGATAAATTCACAACAAAAGTCACAAAAAGTCGCATTAAATTTCCGAAAAGACGGAAAAAAGTCGCATGAAATTTTAAGAACAATGACAAAAGGAAACACGAAATTGTCAAAATTGTAAAAAAATCACATTTCTCGTCAACACATACTTTAATATCAAACAATCCGGAATAAAATTTAATAAAATTCATAACAAAATTGTAATTAGGTATGTTTAACATTTTTTTAATAATTCTCTTTAAAATGTCAATTATTTTTATAAATAATAAAATTCTTCCTTTAAAATTCAATTATTTAAAAAAATTTTTAATAACATTCTTGTAAAAATTTCAAATATCGTTTTAAATAATAAAATTCTTCTCTGAAATTAAATTATTTTCAAAAGTAATAAAATTCTTCACAGGAATTCAATTATTTTAAAATTTTTTTTTAAATTTCTCGTTAAAATTATCATTATCTTTATAAATAATCAAATTCATCCTGGAAATTTAATTATTTTCAAAAGTTCTGATAAAATTCATTGCAAAATTTAATTCTTCGCAGAAATTCAATTATTTTCAGAATTTTTTTTAAATTCTCCTCAAAATTTCAATTATCTTTGTAAATATCAAAATTCTTTTGCAAAATTCAATTACTTACTAAAGTTTTATAAATTTCCTCTCAATAAATCAATTATTTTCAAAAAACATAATTAAAATTTTTTTTTTATAAAGTCTTATAATATAAAATAATAATTTTATCACTTGGTCATCTTTAATTATTATAAAACATGAAGACATCGATTGCTCCGAGTCTTTGACTCGGAGTGATCGATTTCTTTATGTTTTATAACAATTTTTTACAAGTTGTTTAATTTCAAAAAGGTTTGAATTTGAATCTTTTGAAAAATTTTATTGCCTATGGAAAAATAATAAAATCTCAAGTACCTAATTTTTGACCTGTAAAAATTAGTTTTTCGTGTTTATTTATTTTCTTTTTTCTATTTTCGCAAAATCTACCATTTTTCGAAAAATAGAAAAAATGTAAATAAATAAACACCGAAACTAATTTTTTACAGGTTAAAAATGATATAAAACTAAAAATGTCACTCACAGCATTGTATATTTTTATTTGTTTCTCAAAAAGTTCTGCAGAACCCATTTTGAAACTCACAGAGTACCTATCACCGCAAAAGACATTTTTTTCTTTAATATCAACAAAGTATTGAATAATTTTTTTTCAAAAATTATTTACTGTAAAATTTGTCTTTTTATAAACAATACGGTTTCAAAAAAAATATTAAAAATTTTTAAAGTTGCATATTTCCTATATGTTTATGAATTTAAAATTTCTCTTATAATATTTCTAGAAATTACAACCCGTCAAACTTGCACAACGATAATTAAAAAAAAGAAAACAAAATTCAACTGTCTTTATCACATAATCGTATGTATGTCCTGTACTCTTCTCAATGTATCTATACTACAGATGATCTGTGATCATAACTTAATCCTTAAAAATCTTACTGTAAATTAATGTGAAAATAGTTTATAGAATTATTTCTAAATAAAAAGAAAGCTAGTGATGAAAAATGAAAATTTTGTTGTTAACCACTTGAGTAACATGACATTTATTTGGCGTCGAGCGTGAAGGTAAGAAGCAGCAAAAACGATAAAATGACGTTGCTATTTAAAAGCAAATTACAAAGTCTGTAAGTATATTTGTTAGGCTTAAAGTCGGAAAACGCTCATTGAGCGAAAATATAGTCCACAACGCGAAATTCGCTTTGTGGCTGCTACAATATTCGGCCACAACGCATTGTGGTAATTAAGAAATGCCACAATGCGTTCTGGATTCTTTTATATTTGCCATTACGCGTTTTGGTAGTTTAGAAATGATAAGAAATAAATAACTGTAGTATTTTTTTAGCAAATAACATATAATTTTAATTACAAATAATTTAAACTATAAATACCCGAAATTAACTTTAAACATAAACATTTGTACTTTATTATTTTTTACTTTGATCTATATTTTTTCATTGTTTTATTTTTACTTACTTAATTTATATAAAAATAATAAATATCGTACCGTGCTATTCTTCATCAATTCACTTAATTTCCCAAAAAATATTGCCTCTTTATTATCCATTATGAGTTATTAATATTATTGTTAAAATCCTGCACAGCTTTTTAAATTATATAAATGTCACAGTATAAATATTACACAAAGACTACAAAGATTTTAAATTAAATCTACTTTATCAATCACCGATGTGGAAATTTTACTACTGTAACTATTCATTGAATAAAGAAAATTTCAAAGGTATTATAATCGTAGAGGCTAATGACATACTTATAATAGAAAATTGATTAATTAAGACGTATCAAATAATAAGACAGGTAATCAGTATACACGTTGTTTGCAAGCAACAAAATGTGTTATGATTTTTCTGAATTACCAAAACGCGTAATGGCAAATATAAAAGAATCCAGAACGCATTGTGGCATTTTTTAATTACCACAATGCGTTATGGCCGAATATTGTAGCAGCCACAAAGCGAATTTCGCGTTGTGGACCTTTTCAAATTACCACAACGCGTTTTGAGCACTTTTTTTGAGCCTAACATATTTATTGTATGAAAACTCAGTATTTATATTTTTTTGAGATCATGAAGCACTTGATTCGGTTATAAAGATAAGATAAAACGATTTCTTAGACGTTTTAAATGTTTCAGGCGAATTAAATCGTCTTTAGAAGCAGAAAATCAAATTTGCCCTTGATTACGAATATGTAAGTCAAATTTTGCCATCACGTTTCAGTTTTGAAAAAAACCAGGTCAAAGTGTCAAAAAATCGCATTTTGGGCACTTTTTTAAGCACTATTCTTTTTTTCACTTCAAAAAGTGACAAAAATGCGATTTTTTGACACTTTGACCCCGTTTTTATCTATATTGAGACGTGATGGGAAAATTTTCCTTATAAATTCGTAATCTAAGGCAAAAATTTTATAAGAATCGTCATCATTTACTCTTGTAGCAAAAAAAGCCAAATTGTCGACCAGTGTAATTATGGATATTTTACGCATCAAAAACTATTTGAAACATTTAAAAAGTCGTTTTATCTTTTTGTTCCTCGGCCTTAAAACACAAATACTAAGTTTTTAAACAAAAAACATTTTCATATTTCCTCTCGAATAGCAACGTAATTTTTGTGTTTTTTTCCACATCTGCCATGCTGCTCAAATGGTTAATTAACTACAAAAGACTAGAAATTACTAGAAATTCTAGGAGCACTGTTGAAGAAAAATCAATTTTCTTTATATATATTTTCATTTAACAAGAATGTATTAACTATTTTGCATTTAATATCAAGACTAATAATCAAATGACTTACGTGCATAACAGGAGCCTTCTTCATAAACAAATTCTTCATGCAGATCTTGTGCTCGAGCACTTTACATTTAGAATACATTTAAAAAGTTCTATTAAATTAGAAGAGAAATTTAAGTAACCAGAAAATGATTAGTCTGGTTATTTTTCTTAAGCAGTCGCTCCTAAAAATGTACGGCAAAGAAAATTTTCACTACGACTATCAGGTAAGGACTATAGAATGATCTGCACATTGACAAATTTTTATATTACCGGGCAAAACCAAAACATCAGGTGTGTGAGAGATGGAAGGAATTGGAATAATTTTTGTCGGTGTCAGTGCTCGAGCTACGTCATCCTCAGTTTCTTTCGTTGGATGAAGCGGGCAAATTAGAACAGGAACATCTTCCATGCGTGGCAATGCCCAAACAGTGACCTATAATTGTAAATAATGTCAAGTTTCATTAAATTCAGATTCCTTATTTAATAAAATTTAACGTCAAGCAAACTGAGTTACTAAGAAAATAATAATGAATAAATTTGTCCCAAGAGCAGTGCGCACTTCAGCTTAAGATTATTTGTAGAATAAAGGCAAGACACCACCCAAGAGATGATCCTATTGTTAAGAAAACAAAAGCAATAAAAAGTATTGAAGATCAAGAACAAAAGGAGGAATGAGGAAAACAGAGTGTGTGTGGTAAAGTTGTACTCACTGCCGTTTGTTGATCTAGGAGATAAGTTTAAGGAACGTTTTAGTTAGAAAGAAATTTTTAATAGCAAATAATATACACGTCTAGCTTCAAAAAATTAAAAAACTTTCCAGATTCACCAAAAGTCATTACTCGGGGGTTTTTGGGGTCGCTGATTACGAATCCGATGACGTTTTTAAAAAACTGAAAATGGCGGATCTAAAATGACCGTCGACAAAATTAAAATTTTGGACATTTTGAATTTTTTAAAAACGACCCCAAAAACCCCCAAGTTAACTAATATTGAGTGAATTCGATAAACTTTTAACTTTGCATCCACCATCTTGGAACCGCCATTTTGAATATTTTAAAAAAACCGAATAACGATTTTTGAGTGATTTAATGATTAGGCACTTTTTAAGCGATATTTCTTCCATTCGCATATATTTTAAAGTTGTAAATTCCTGGCTTTTTCCTAATTTTCATCAAAAATATTTCCTTCTTCCCTATCCTGCTAATAAATTCAAGACGAATTTTATTATTCATAAAAGAATTTAAATATGTATAAAAATAATTTAATTTTTGCGAAGAATTTTATAAAAAATTTTAAGTAACTCATTTCTTTCGACTAATTTTATGCAAATTCTAATTTAAATAATTGAATTCCTGAAAATTTTTTATTATTCATGAAAAGAATTGAATTCTTACGAAGATTTTTACAAAAAATTTTTCTGAAAATAATTGAATTCCTAAAAAACATTTTATTATTTATGAATATAATTGAATTCTTGAGAACAATTTTATTAGAATTTTTAAAAATAATTAAATCCTTGTGATGAATATTGTTATTTATGAAAATAATTAAATTTTTCAAACAATTTTATTAAAATGCCTGAAAATAATTGAATTTTCGGGAATAATTTTGTTATTTATCTTTAATAATTGAATTCTTTTGAAGAATTATTTATGAAAATAATTGAATTCTTGGGAAAAATTTTATTAAAATCTAAAAGAATAATTGAATTATTTCAAAAAAATGAAATTAAAATTGTATTTAAAATAATTGATTTCTTTCGAACAATTTTACTAAAATAATATTTGAAAATAATTAAATTCCTGTGAAAAATTCCAATATTTTTGTAAATAATTGAAATCTTCCAAAGAATTTAAAAAAAACATTTTATTAAATAATTGATTTTTTCGAAGAATTGAAATTGAATTTTTAAGAATAATTACATTTTTTGAGCAATTCCTGTAAAATTGTATGAAAAATAATTGAAATCCTGCGATGAATTTTATTATTTATAAAAATAATTGAATAGTTGCAAAGAATTTTATTAAAATTTTCAAAAATAATTGAATTGTTGAGAAGAAATTTATTATTTATGAAAATAATTGAATTATTGCGAAAAATTTTATTAAAATGTTTAAAAAGAATTGAATTTCTGTGAAAAAATTTGTTATTTTTGAAAATAATTGAATTCTTCATAAGAATCTTATAAACATTGTTATTTAAATACCTAATTAATTTTTTTGAAATTTAATAAATATAATGATCATTTTTTTTAAATAATTGAATTCTTGTGGAAAACTTTATTTATGAAAATAATTGAATTTTTCAGGGTGGGCACTTTTTTAATAAAAAAAAATTCACGGTCATTTCCCGGTCATAAATTATTTTTCCCGGTCATAAAAACTAACTCTAAAAATAAATTATTCCATGAAAGATTGAAAGAATTTTCTGATTTTTAGACAAAACTTTGACTTTTTCCCAAACCCTAAAAATATTTTAGTTTACTCTAAAAATAATTGAAACTCCAAAATATGTTTATAATACATTTTTTTGGAATATCTTTAATACTAAAAATAATTTTGAACTTAAATAGATTTTTTGAAACAAATATTTAATTATTATCCATTTTTTTTTCCATATAGGTATTCAAATTTCAAATCCTTTAAATTTGAATAATTTTTAAGAATTGCTACTGTAACTTATTAAAAATTAGTTTCAAAATTTCAATTCAATTATTTTCTAGAAATTTTAACTAAAATATTTCTAAAATCCACTTCTTTACAAGACAATTTTGATGAAATTTTGAATAATTTGAAATTTTTTCAATGAAATATTACATATTTAAAAACATAACTATGTAATTTGAAAAAATGTGAATAAAAATATTTCAAAAAACTAACTTATTCAGAATTTTTAATTAAAATCTTTTAAAATTCAACTTTTCTAAAACTTCAATTTGAAACTTTTTAAAATTCAATCTATAATAATATTAATTTAACATTCTAAAATATAGAAAAATTTGCTTATCAATAATTATAAAAAAAAACTAATTGATATTAATGCAAAATACGGTTTTTTAAAAATTTATTTTCTAAGAAAAAAAATTTTATTTATTTTTATTAACTTTATTTATTATTTAAAACTTAATTTTTATAAATTTCTTATCACTTTTGTTCTAATTAGTTCAAATTTTTAAATTGATTTAATTTTTACTATTTTATAGGATGTGAAATTTTTTCTCTTTAAAATTTTTTTGACAAATTTAATTAAAATTATATTTTGTTTCATTATTGTTAGAAATAGAAAGAATTTAAAATTAAATTTAATATTTTCTTTTTCTAAGTCTGTTACGTTGGACAACAAAATTCATAATTTTCTTATAAATTCTAGAAATAATTGAATATTTTTATAGTACTTTTCATAAAATTCCCTGACAAAATAAATAGACGTTATAGAAGATTATTCAATCTTTTTTAATGAAATATAATTAATAAGTCCTAAAATAAATATTTCTATTTTTTTCTCACAAAATAATGTGTGTTTTTAAAAAAAAATTTCCAAAATCCCGGTCAAGATCAAAATTCCCTGTCATTTCCCGGTTTCCCGGTCCAGCGGCCACCCTGTTTTTCGATTAGTTTGGATGGATTTATCAATTTTTTTTAAATAATTGAATTCTTTTGCGAAAATTTATGAAAATAATTGAATCGTTTTAAAGAATTTGATTATAATTTTTGAGAATAGTTTTTTGATTTCTAGTATTAGCGAATTTAAATTAGTGGAAATTCTCAAAAAAAGACAGAACTAGTAGCTGTTAGTGGCTGAAATCTAAAAAAGTACCCAAATAGTAGTATAACGTAAAAAAGTTTCTTTTCCATGTTTCACATTTTTTCCACGTAAATAGACACGATTATTAAAAAGCCCAGAGCATCTTTTGAGATTAAGAAAATACTTTCCACTTTGGCATGAATGCATCATTCTATGAACATGACTAAAGAGTAGTACTCCTAAAGAGAAATACTTTATTAAATTTAAATCTGTTTAGATTCAATTCCATTTATTTGATGTCGAAAGAGGATATCAGTGAGTGTAAAAAGGAACTCAAAATGATTCTGTGTCTTGCCTCTTTCCATGAAAATAATTTGCAATGTGTACCGCTTCGTGTCAGTTGATTGTCTAAATATATAAATCTAAAAAAAATGTTGTTCATACTTTGATAGAATTTCCATCCCCACTACTTGCTAACGGAAAAGTATGTTCTACTGGGTGTTCTCGAAATTTCCTCAGGTGATCTTCGTAGTATGGGACAACCCTGGTAGCAACGTAGACTGGATTGGAACCATTACTTCGTGACCACCATGCAGCCACCTGACTGAAGTGCAGCCGTGAACGGACAGCTTGATATAAACCTTGCGAATTCATCGTCTCTTGAGTACTGTAAAAAAGTGCAAAAATATTTTATTTCAAATACTAAAATAAAACTCAATGGGATACATCGAAAACGAAAAAGTTTAAAACACGATTGGTTGAAAAAACAAACTTCAAAATTTTTTAAATTATTGCAGCACGTTATGGAAAAATTCGGGCGATTCCTTACTTGCTGCTGGTTGTTCCTATGCACCAATACTCGAGAAGAACTTCCGACGAACATTGCCATGGTGATTTAGAATTAACTGATAGTAGTGGATTTTTGCTAGTAGTCTTCAATAGTCCACAAGGACAATCGCTGCATAATAATACCTCCACGCACAAAAATACACCGATTGTTATTCTATCTTCGATTTCCTTGATTAATATTTCATATCGTTCACACTGAAATAAATGTAAATGTTAATTTTTTCTTAATTTATACATTGATTAATGAGAAAAATTCGCTAAGAAAGTAAATATAAATATAACAAAGAGTATGAAATGTAAATGTTAAAATTGTTTCATAATAAACATTCTTTTAATTTCAATTGCCTTAGCTTTCATTCCTAATGATATTTTTGAATATAATCCAAGAAAGATCTGGCACGTGTCATTTTCTTCAAGTTTAATTTGAAATTTATACGTATATGTAGCTCAGATGAGCGAAATGTCAAGAAAAAAAATTAAGTACAAGTTTTATGTATGTTAACTCTAAATCCTTTTGTTTCATATTCATTAAGGAAATAAATTTTTCCATCTACGCGGCTATACAATGTCGGTGCAGTTTACAATGTTTTTTATTAAATCTTTTAAGACAAAAATTTATAACAATTTGCATATTATTTTATTAATTTTCATATAACAACTGTTGGCCATAAACGTTATAAATTCCATCAAAGTGAATAATAGAATTAAATGAATGTAAATGTGATACTTTAGAGAAGCAACATTTTATTTTCCAAGTCGACAAAGTATCTGAAGGTTATTTAGATAAAAAGATAAATTAAAACAAATGTTTTTAACGTAAGTACGGCAAATTCCACAATTGAAATTCCAGAATAATTCCAAACTCTTATTGGAATCTTCCTTGTAAAAAATGATGGGAAAAACTGATACTAAGACGGAAAAACATCTTTTTTTAAATTTATTAAATAGGTTATTGTACCTTAGCTATTCGATGCCTGCTACAAGATATTCATTGTGTCACTAGCAAATTGTCACTTCGACCCACCTATTCTTTCGCAGTTTTTTGCATTTCTATTTCATATTTATTAATGGATTAAAGAATATTTTCATTTTGGCATGTTCCTTATACATTAACAAGTCTAAAAAAATTACTGAACCACAATTTGTTAATAATAAAATCATTATAAACAAATGGATAACAAAAAAAAATCATTTTCTAGTGAACCTTTTAACTATTGAGATGTTAATTTTTTTCTATCCTAAACTAATTTTTTAAATTTTTTTATAAATTTTCACTATAATTATTAGCAATAAATTACTTCATTATGTACATAATATTTTTTAAATATAAATATTTTTAGAGAAAATTATATTCTATTAAAAACAAAGTTACTCGGGAGTTTTTGGGGTAGCTGAATACAAATCTGAGGTTATTTTTCGAAAATTCAAAATGGCGATTTTAATATGGCGGACATGAAAATTAAAAATTATAAATTTCCCTGACAAAAATTTTTTTGTTTAGAACAAAAAATGTATTGCATGACCGTCTTAATTTCTTTAATTGCCCTGACAAAAAAATTTTTCTTGACATTTCCCTGACTTTACTGACAAGAAATTATTTTTCCTGACATTTCCCTGACTTTACTGACATGTGGCCACCCTGCAATTCACTTGAAATTCGTTATTCGGGGGTTTTTAGGGCCGCTGAATACGAATCTGTGATTAGTTTTTAAAAATTCAAAATGGCGGACATAAAAATTGAAAATCGACTAAATATACGAAAATGAAAATAGATTTTGATGATAAAAAAATGCGTGACTCAAAGGGTATTTATTTATACACTGCAAGCCCGATCAGCGGTCAGCTCCGGGAGTGCTTGACCGCTGATCGGGCGTAAACATATAGGACCGTACGAACTGTTTTGTGATGGGTTACCATTACTTGACTACTGAATTTTTTTTTAAGGGGCCAGAGCGTCTTTAATGTATACGCTACTGCCACAACTTTTCGACTCCCTCTTTGCCCCTCGCTCGCACCATCTACAAACGACGTAAACAAGTGACCACTGATCGGGTGACCGCTGATCGGGCTTGCAGTGTATTTTGTAGCAAATATCGAATATTATGTACTGTTTAGGTAACTAACTGGATTTCCTACTTCATTTGCCATATTTTATATAGTCTAGACCATGAAAAAGTGTAGTTTTCCGACTTTGTTTATTCTGGTTTTGTTTTCGTTTTTTTATTATAACATATAATATGAAGTTCATTTGTATAATAGTATTAGTTACCAAGTAGTTTTCTTTTTCACAGACATGATCATTGGGAGTAATTTGCATAGGGGCTGCACAATGTGGACCCTCTTTGTATCCACGAGGAGGGCCCTGGATTCTTCCTTCACACACAAGGACTCCAAGAGCTCGGATTAAGCTAACAGCACCTCCACGACTGCCAAATCCACAAGAAGTGGCTTGGCTGCCTGTTGTTGTGCCTGGGCAGTACATTTCTGAAACAAAAGTTAGATCACAATTGCCATATGTTTGGATTGTCAAAATTCTTTAGAAAGAAATTGTAATAAATTCAAATAAATCAAGAATTGAGGAGATGGTTTCTATTAAAGATTATGCGTAAAAGAGGAAGAATGTGAAAGAAGTGGGAATACCCCACCCGAATAGCTCTATTAATTGATGATGCCGGTATGACAAGAGAAGGGCTTTAATCTGTGACGAAGCACTTAGTCGAACTGTAACGAACTCTAATTCGAATGTTTGCTTTTGCCGCCTTTTGCCGTAATAATTCCTCCTGTTGTAATGTTGTCATGTCCCATGCAAGCTTCATTCCTTGTAAAAGTGGTCGAAATTCCTCCTTTTTTGCCTCCATAAATGATTTGTGTAGAGCCCTTTCGCATTCCACAGAATTGCAAATAATTTTTATTGAACGAGGCCGAGATTGGATCTATACAAGCGAACCAATTCTAAATGATCTGGAACGGTTTAGGAGTTCAGGTGGTGAAAATTTATGGAAGTTTACATATATTGTTTAAAACAGTTTTGTTAGGGTCGCGTCTTCTTTCAGATTAAAAAGAATTAAGCTACCTGATCTAGATAGTCATTTTGAATCTCATTCGTGCATTGGCTAGATATGTTATTGATATCTAGATTGCGTAGAGTACTTCCAATTGCAGTGATTCTGATGAATGCTCGTTGACCGTTGCAATTGCTTCATTAATTTTTTAAGTTGCTGTTTCTACCTTCCATGGCAACTCCTTCATGGACGCAGATAAAGATGAAAAGTTTCAATTTAATTCTTTTTGGAGTCCATCAATAGCCTTCTGAAGAATTTACTTAACACCATCTTTATTCATAACAGCCGTGTTCGGCTCTGACTGAGTCGTAAGCAAAGGAGAACGTGGTTTACAACACTTCGTGTATCACCATTTTCCAGCTTTGTAACACGAATAGCACAGCCTGGATGATAAGGCGAATTGCAAACTTTGCAAAAAACTGTCTCATTGACAGATTGTTTACAAACAGTACACTTTTTCGAACTAGATAATACGCGCCTTTAGACATCATATTACCGGTACAGAAAGTAGGTTATGTAGCACGTGGTAAACTTGAAAACCCCGAGAAAATACACAAAAGAGAGAATAAATAGCAAAACTTATGATTGTGTTATGATTATGGTTGTGTATTTCTTCCAAAGATTAATGCCATCTGATCATCTGTTTCCATTGGCTCTGTTGGAATTGCGAGGAAAAGAGGAGTGACTACCTTGAGAAGGGGTTCGGATCATTCATTTTTGTCTGGATACAGAATGATGTATTACTCATTTATTTTCTGATTTCCCTCTCGAACTGTTTTTTCTGTCCTGGAAGTTTAATTTCTTCCAAAAATTTTGGTTACGTTTGTAATAGGCTCAACGATCTTTAACTCATCAAAGCTATCGTCCTCAGAAAGGTTGGAAGCTGATTTTTCAGAACACACGAAGGAATTTGCCAGCCATAAATATGGAAACAGATAAACCACGTCTCTTCATCTTCCTAGAAGTCTGACCCACGAGTAGCAGTAACGCGAAGGAGAGAGTGTTCAAAATTGGTATGGACGGCCGAAAACCTTGACGTCATTGTACAATACGATTAATATTTCGACTCTCTCTTCCTGGTGCTGATGGAGTCAGTTATTGGAGATAGAAACTTGGGAAATACGACCCCATAGTCATAGGTAAACTGATAGCAACCATTATTGGGAGCAACAGGAGAATCTTCGTCATTGGTCATAATTAAACAAGAATTTAGTGTCAGCAAAGAAGTGATGCAAACACTTTGCTTTGTTGCAATATATTGAAATCAAAAATATTCAGAGTTGATCTGCCAGATCCATTGTTGTATAAAAAAGGATTTATCAGCGTACGCACAGAGTATTTAAGTACGGAAATAATTGAAAATCTGGATGTAGAATATCGGGAGTGATCTCTTCGGCAAGAAGGAACAGACAACAAACGAAATTAAGCGATTTACTTTTTAATTCAGGACGTATTCCGAGATTTGTTTACGCCTAGAGTACTAGGATTTACATAGCTCCGTCCATCCGTATACCAAAACACTGCTACACGGAGAGAAAAATCAAGTGTTTTTAGTATGAAGACTTCCTATGGTAATTTTGTATGAACGCCCTGCTTAAGAGGCGTGTCCTTATACCTCAGTTGCATGAAACATATACTAAAATAGCATGGATCTCTTGCAATCGTAGTATACTGACGTCCCATGCATTTAAAGGTAGAACTTTTATGCTGATAACGTAGAAATTGATACAAATACAGCAGAAATTTTACAACTAGTTAGACAATTAATGAATTTACAAAAACTTACGATATAAATATCATTAGGCAAACTATAAGATACATTATAGAGATTAAAATGAAATTTCTATGAAATTTGTCATTTAAAAACCACAGATATAATTATAAAAATGACGCGAATATAGTATTATAAGTCTATTGTGCGTAAACAAATATAAATAAACATTATTATCGGTTTTTAATCAAAGATCTGGAGAACTCATATACAACACGTTTTTTACAACGGGATTGAAGAAAGTAATATTAAGATGTGGAATATAGACCATCCACAAAAAATTGTTAATGTTGATACAATACATAAAATTAGCTCTGAGATGTCAAAAGGAGAGTAGCATGTTTTTTTAAAGCCACAGTTGTCGACTGGTCATGGCCATCACTCAATGCTATTTCTAAGGATTGGAACGGAATTTTATTTTGTGAATATTTAGAATTAGCATACCGATACGTTACTGAAGAAGTGATGAGTGATTTAGTAAATTTGACGCTTTTGCTAACATGCATAGCACATGTTTTGCATCGTGCTTCTGTGACCATTAAAGAAAAATATCTTGAATGTGAAAAAACAAGAAAATGTTTTTGGACTTCTTTGGTTTGTTATTACTATGTAGGAACATCTCGGACCTGGATACAATTTTCGAGGAGCTACCAACTGTATTTATTGCAAAAAAGAAAGAAACAGCTGCTAAATCGTTAGAAGTTTTGTGTGGAGCTTGGATTAACCCCTTCACTTTCAGGGCTTTTCAGATAGAGTTCCTGCCAGTGAAGGTGTTAAAGAAAAGGACGACCTGAAGAATATGAGCAACATGTTTGATATTATAGAAAAAATAAGAAATAAAATGTGATTATGAGTATGAATATCTGTATAAATTAAATACATATATCAATTTATTCAAATTCACTTTCTTTCGAAAGATATTACATTAAATATATCGCAACTGAGAAAGTTTTGAATGAAGAATCTTTTATTACCAAACAGATCACGAATGAATTCTATGCACCTAGGTTTCTACAATACATTGTTTTAGAGTTCATTCCATACATTCCAATTTGTGGCGCTCTTCTACTTGATGTCATCGATGTAAGATGATGCCGAATAAGTAGAATAATGTAGAAACTTTTAACAAAACATTAGGCAAGACGTTTTAGAAGGTCAGAAAAAACTTGAAATTGGTATGGTTATTCGAGAATTGAAAAAAAATGTTAAGAAAATAATTGAAGAAGCTCATTTAGAAAGAGCAGAAAGAGAAAAAGGAAATTTACACAAAAAATAAACTTTACTATACAGACAGAGAACATTAATTTTAACCTCGTTAAAAGAAGTAAAAACTACCCTGCCACAAAAAATTCACTCGATGTTTTACTGTGAAAAGACGAGAGAACATGAACGCGCCGAGAGAAGGCTGAAGTAATCAGTTATGTTCTGCGAGATGTCATGCGCTCAAAATTAAAACTCACGATTTGTCAAGACAGTTTGCCGTTAAGCTTACTGCAGCTCGAATAAGTAAGCATTGTTATTTTCAATGAACGCAAAACTTTGCATAGACATATTTCTGCAAATGTCAAATGTTTAATCGCAAAACATCAACCCGAAAACATACAGGGAAATTGCACTCTATTCCTGCAGGAAGCATTCGTAACCTGGTCTCGAAAAAATAAATAAATATATTCTTACGTTGAACTGTAATTTATCAAAATGCTGTCACTTATAAGTATCCAGAGACATCAAAGCTGACACAATGATTAGGAATGTTGATGAATTTTCCTAACCTTTTGGAGTACCTCAGATTTTCTTTTTCTAAATGATAGTTAAGGGTGCCAGGCAGTTAATCCAATAGTTTTTGGAATCAGAAACAAAATCCCCGAACCTCAAAGCAGCATAAAATGAATTAAAATTAAATACATAAGGTTTTACGTAAAGTAAAAATGCGTGGTACATAGACTGGTAACTAATTTTTTCTGTAAATAGTATAGTTCAGGATGATAGGAAGTCAGGCCAATAGTATCCAAATCAAAAACAAATGCCTCACCACACAAAACAGCAAAAGACCAATAAAAGTTTAAAATGTCTGTCTTAATATGAAAAAATCATTCATTTTTATTTAAATAATATCACTTCTAATAATAAATATTATATTTTATATAATTTGGCTATGTAATCTTTGTGATTTTTAGATGTCTGGTAAGAATCAGATTTCAGAAAAATCATGATAGCAGGATTCCACTGTTTGCTCTGCGAAAAATCCCCATCACATTTGTCATCTTTGGAAAAAATGTGCAACATGTTCTGTAATTTCATTTCACTTTGGAGTCACAATGTATTGGAATCCTTGAGACTATATTTGAAATTTTCATTGCATGATTTATAATTTGGATCAAGATACTGGGAAAAAAATCAGTCAATGACTTTTTTTTGAGTCAATAAAATTTTGTAACGTATTTTAGACAGTCGATTGGTGAGATTTGCCGCAAATAACTAATGTTGCGAAGAAGTTTGACAAAAGCGTTTCCATTAGATGGAGCATTGCCATTAGTCATTGTTTCTTAGACATAGAAAAATTTAGCACAATTAATACTTATAACACAAAAATTTTGAGCTATGTAATTTAAACTTGTGTTCAACATTTAGCAGAATTAATACTTGTATCA